TAGGGGTTTTTTCTTCCGCATTTTTAACTCCTAGCGAAGATGCTATGTTTGACTTCAATTTATTCTTCGAAGAGATGCGTTCAAAACTCAACGAAAAACTGAGAGATGAAGTTCGAGAAAAAGGAAACATCAAATTCTACCTTGTTGATGTAAAGACGTTATGCCATAGGAAAAACTCAGAGGGGATACCTGAGTACGCAACCCCATGCTTTAAAGCAGTGATTATTAAACTTATTTCTTTTACCGCCCCCTTTGAAAATCAATTATTTTTCAGCGCCCCCCATTTTTTATACACCCCTAAAACTTAAAAACCACAATTTCATTACTTTAATTAATTTAGTTATATGTATTAGTCGGTTCAGATGCTTAAACTTACATTCTAAACTAGAAATTTTTGCCAGTGAGAGCAAATAAAACCCAACTTTATAATATTAATAATATATTTTAATCAAATTAAAAGAAACAATATAAATATGTAATCAGTTTTCGTTTTTATACTAATCTAATGAGATGGATGAATTTGATGATATTTAATAAGTTTGTTGATATCAGGTTCGATTTTACTCAAAAACAGTCGTAAGTCGCCGCGTTTGGTAANTGGTAGTTTTTTTCCTAATGTTTAAAATAATTTCTGGTGCAATGTAATTAAGGTAAAATTGCTCTAATTTTTTAACTATCATCGATCATGTTTCTTTATCTATCCGCAGAAACTTGTTACAACTAGATTGCGTACGATGTGCGGGCTATCCTACGAAATCTATATTAAGTATTTTAAGTTTTTATAACATCTTACAGGGTAGAAATATAAACTAATTATTCGTTATTGTGTAGTAGGTGGGTTTTAATTTTAGTGAAATTTAAAATACTATATAAAGTAAATGAAATTACAAATTATACATCGCCCCCCTAACCCACATCAACCCCCCCCCCCCCATTTTTTCTGGGTCCCTTAACGCCCCCCTCTAGGTTTCAAACGCCCCTAAGGGGGCGTTATCGCCCACTTTGAGAAAGACTGCTTTAAAGCAACCAGTTGTTAGAAAATGCTCTGAAGGTAAATATAAACACTGGTTTTCTAAAAATTCATGGTGCTTTTGAAAAGTTTTGTAACAATGGTTCAGGTTGGATACTCGAATTTATTGATTTTATGGAAGTATCCAGTGCTAGATATTGCCCGTTAAGCACGAGCAGTTATATTCCATTTCCCACTAAAATTTTAAATAAAAAAGCAGTTTTAAATATTCAAAATATAGATCAAAAATGTTTCGTATGGTGTCTTTTGGCTTTTCGAATGAATATTCATAAATCTCAAAACCATTATTTACCATTGGAATCAAATATTAACTTGGGCAATTGTAGCTTGCGAGTACCCATATTCCAAATTCTTAAAATCGAGATGCTCAATAACATTCGAATTAACGTCTTTGGGTATGACGAGGTCATATTTCCACTGTATATTTCCGAGCGTGAGGATGTTGAATGCTGCAAATTACTTTTAATTTGAAACGCAAAATCATTATTGCCTCATTCGAAATTTCTCTCGTCTGATGGGTGATGCCACTAAACATAATCCTAAAAGCTTCTATTGCTATCGATGTCTTCATCGATTTGCAGAAGAATAGACCCTTAAAAAACACTTAACTTTTTGTAAACATAATTCCCCTCAAAATATTAAAATGCCTGATGATAAAGATAAAATTGCATCTTTTCATAATATTAATTTTCAACATCCCATTCCCTATATAATTTATGCAGATTTTGAGTCTCTCATTAAGAAAATTGATAGTTGTCAACCTAATCCTTTAGCCACATATACAGAGAAAATGTCCATTCATACACCCTGCGGTTATGCTTTTGTAATCGTAGGACCTGATGGAAAAACTTACAAACCTGTTACGGTCTACAGAGGATCTAATTCTGTGGACCACATTTTGGAAAACATACTAAGGGAAAAGGAGGAGTTGGCAACTAAATTAACAACAATAGTCCCCATGGGCTTTACCCCAGGAGACAAGGAGGCATTTCGTTTTGCCTTGAATTGCTGAGTGTGTGATCAACCCCTTGGTGATGACAGAATTCGTGATCACGACCATCTCACAGGAGCTAGACGTGTACCCCTTCATCGTTCTTGTAACTTAAAATTTAACTAAAAAAATTCCAGTTGTTTTTCATAATTTTAAGCATCATGATGCTCATCTCATTATGCAAGGTTTGGTGAAAATTAAAAATCATAGTTTTAATGTAATTGCCAACAGTATGGAATAATATATTTCTTTCAGCATTGACAAATTGTATAACAAAATTTAAGTTTCTCTAAATTTCATCGACAGTTTCCAATTTATGAATACGTCATTGGAAAAATTAGTAACACATTTAAGTTTCGATCATTTTAAAAGAAAATATTAATCATCCTTCTCTAAGTCTACTTCTTAGGAAGGGTATATATTCAAGACCGTAGCCAGGATATTTTTTCGGGGGGGGGGGATATGGTAAGAAGCAAGGACAGTTTCAGACATGCAAAGTAGGGGGAAAACATTGTAACAAATATTGTTTATTCTGTTTGCAAAAGTTAAACTAGTAATTAAAAAATATTACATAATAATTATTTTTCAATTAATATTGCATAATAATTATAATCAATTTGTAAACAAAGTTTACAAAGACATGCGGCGAAAAATTGAAGAAAATTTTTCGATTACTTTTTTAGGACAAATCGGAATATCCCGAAATATGCTTAATAAAGTTAGCTCTGTTAGCCTTTCTACTTTACTAGCATTTCTTATCGCTGTTTTTATGCTTTTAAGAGTAGAAAAAGTTCTTTCTGCAGTTGCTGTGGTGATGGGCAACGTAGCCAATATTGATAACAAGCAATAAATGTTTGGAAAAAAGATACTGTCGCATTCTTCCATTGCTGAAAATGCCGTGTCTGGTCTACTAAGGGGTTTACGCAGGTTCCACTTTGATGCCCATACTTCCATTTCTCCCATGAGGTTTTCGATGTTAATGAAATCTGCGTAGATTCAGAAATTGCATAAATTAATATGCTGAAAAACAATTGATTTCGGGGTAGGAGTCTAACTGAAGGAAAGATGAGCCACAAGGTCAAGTGAAGTTGATGCCCTAGCGAAGGTGGTGTACTGGGAAAAAGTTTGATTCGATAGTTTTTGTTTTTCTTTTTACTGAGAGGCTCAAAGAAAGACTAAAAAGTTTGAATCCCAAAACTTCGGGGGGGATTTGTCCCGACGCTCCCCCCCCTGGCTACGGGCCTGGTTTATATCCATACAAGTATACGTATGTCCTCAAGTATACGTATCCATACAAGTATACGTAAGTATATAAATTCGAGGAAGATACGCTGCCCGCTATAACTAAATTTTACAGTTCTCTTACTGGGGAAAGTGTATCTGATGAGGACTATCAACATGTCCAAACGGTTTGGAAATCTCTTAATTTAACTTCTTTGGGGGAATATCATGATTCATGTCTTTCAAAATTTTAGACTACTCTAAGTAGGTGATTGTGAGTGATGATCAGAGTTGAGATCGACAATCAATTCTATTTTGCTATAATTAGGCGATAAATTTCAATTTCAAACCATTGAATTTGTATTGTCTTTAGACATAGAATACCCGTTGAAATATGGTTCTTTTTTGCAGGAAAAATTTTTAATTTATGATAATTTCTGTTTGGCAATAATGTAACACTAAATTCCATCGTTCAGAAAACAATTGAGACTCATGATGTCATCCAGCACAAAACTTCAGTTAAAATTTTAATGTTCTAGTTAGTGTCTAAGTGTTCGGAATTCTGATAAATTCTCTCTAATGCTAATATTGAAAAAGTTCTGCTTGTAGCGGTAGCGGTTAGAAGACATTTGGAACTTGAATTGCGTTACATGGGTACAAAGTTCTAGATTAGATTTGAATGCTTATATAGTCAGAGAGTAGTTAAATTTAGAGTTTAAAATTCTATCGTCATACGCACGAAAGCGAATATATAATAACTGGTTAAAATAGAACGATTTATGTACTCTTAATCCATTGAAATGTTTGGTAACAATACCATGCAATATGACAATCTAAGATTGCGATTTTCAATCAAAATATATAGGATTGGGGAGAAAAGGATCTAAATAAGATAAGGAGAAACCCTAAACTATAAAATTTTAACCATAACTCGTTTGAATTTAATGGTTAGACTTTTTTTTTAATTTTATAAGTTAATAATTATTATTAAAACGATATTATTAGAGTGTTAGCTTCATAAAAATACCATATGAAATTTGAAAATCCGCCCCTACAGTTCAACCTGGCCGTACAGGGGTACAAAAAGATAATCATTGCATCATTGAAATTATTCATTTTAAAAAATGCTGAACATTTTTATTGGAAATTTCAAAAAAGGGAATAATAAAATATTTAATATTAATGTAATTCTTTTTTTAATATAAATATAAAAAATTATGTTACTATTTGTGGACTTTTTAATGATCCTTATATTTATATTTTATTTACATTTAAACATTCTTAAGCCTAATAAAGTGTGGCCTTGAATTCTTATCTCTTCAGTTTCTGAGCTGGGTGGAGTTAGAAGAACAAAAAACAACTTATCAAGTATCATAGAAAGTCTAAACCAAATGTTTATAAGTAATTTTACATTGCATTGTTTTAAATAAAGCTGTAAGATGTTTTCCTTTTTAAAAAAAAATAATAGAAAAAAAAGGCCATTTTAAGTTTCTTTGTTCTCATCAATCTCACTTAATATTAAAAGCGAAAGTTAAATGCAGCTGCAAAAGGCGGAAACAGAAAGTACAGAAGTAAATAATGCCTAGTAGCATTAAAAATATCAAATTATGAAGAAAAGAAAAATTGAAACAGCTTCTAGTTGTTTTCTGGCCTTGATCTTGAATCATAATTTATATTGACTCTGGTCTTACGTACCCTTTCTTTTTAAATGCTCTAGAACTGAAAAGTTCTGATGAAGTGTCCTCCCTGTTCTTATAGGTGTTCCTCCACCTGTCTGTTCTGAGAAAAAGGTGAAGTTACATGGTGGGAATGCGGATCACGTAGTTCCCGCCCTAGGAAACACGTGGTCCCACTGCGTGAACACCCGGCTGGTTGCCCAGTTTTTGGACTCCTCTGTACGCCAGGTGATTTTTTTTTCTCTTCATAGTAATCGTTTTCTACATTTTTAAGACCCTGTTTAAAAATTGTAAGAGAATTAGTCATTATTTGCTCATGTTATGCTTTAAAAACACAACATAGAACAGTGGAATCCCGCTAATTCGAAGTTACTAAGACCATTGCCTGTTCCTGCTATACAAAATTCCCATTGCGATTGCTCACGTCCCACAATTAATTTTTTTGCCTACGTTGTAATTAATCTATTCTCTCAATCTGCGTTTTCCAGTTTAGTTATCGCTATACATTGGAATTCCGACGCTACATTAGAAGCAAATCATGCCGTTAGGTAATCATTTTCCTACGATATATCGCGCATCTTATTACGCTAGAAGGGTTATTTCCCATGATAAACAAATTGCCAACACCTGAGGGTCATATTTTTCACGACGGTTTATCGCCCTCGTATTTATGTAAATTATGACTCTTACATTTTTTTCAATGATAACAGATAGCCTTTTTTACTTTTACTTTCTCTTTAACCATTTTCTTTGTCCCTAACATGTTAGAAACCCTGTTAATTTTGTTATCATTGAATTCGTTATCGAATTTTGAAAAAGTATATACACAAACGTTTGAGCTAACTATCGATAGCTATCCAAATAATTGAGCAAATGATTAATACAGTATCAGAATTTCTTTCCAATTTTGAATAATAAAAGTACGTACAAACATTTTTAAGGAAACGATTCTATGAGTGGCACAAGCTCTGAATCTATCCAGTTTTCAAATTTGAAAATTATTCGTTGTTTCTCAATAGTCGGTCCGTGGATTAATATTATATAATCTGTATTATAATTAATATAAACTAGTGGGCGGCCCCCCCCTGCTCGCTAACGCTCGCCAACCCCCGAAAATTGCTACGCAATCTTATATGGTTCGCTTCGCTCGCTACTAACTTAGGTGCATTGCAAATGCACAAAATTCTAAGAATTCAAAACAATCATTCAAATCCATATAACAACTTTTTTTTTTTTTTTATATCTTTTTAGTAAATACTAAGTCATTAAAATAAATTTTAATTCAAATAAATGACATTTAATTCGTTAAACCTATTAGAAATGTGCTATAGTATAAAATCTTAAAGCGTAACAGCACGACTGAGACTCATTTTTCAATGAATAACTAATAACAATAATAAAACAAGTAAATTCGTGATATAAATCAAAAATCGTCAAATAAATGCTTAATATATAAATTCGTGAAAAAAAGCTCTTCGACAAAATACTAAAATAGAGATCTATCGACAAAGACTACTCACTTCTGCCTAGCTTAATAGTATGAGATTGCCGCAGCTGATAGGGTCAATTTCGGAAGAGATCACATTTAATGAGAATGCTCTCTCTAGTTATTTCAGTTTTTAAAGGCGCTATATGTTGAGCCACCTCAGCTAGATTTGGCATGTGACATTTTTAGCGGCAATCATTAGTCGATTTTCTAGTGTTGCCGTTCGGGGAGTTGTAATGAGGCTTTTTTTTTGTCGCCGTGTAAGAGAAATATCTATATAGATTTTATGTAACAATAATGTAAGTTTCTAAATATTTTTCATTGCTGAAAGCATGTAAATGATGTCAAAAACAAACTGGTCAAAAAATTATTTAAGCGCCACAATTTTTTAATTGTTAAAATTTTGCCACTTAACCAACTTACTAATCTTTCGAGTAAATCTGGTTGTAAAAACATTGGTCTGAAACATTCATAATCCGGCATATCAATGAAGTTATTTGGGTAACGAATTATAGTACAACAATAGTTAGTAAGTTGCATAAAATTCTGATTCTTAATTTTACTTTGTACAATATTTTCCTTTAATGTATAGAGACAACAGCCGTAATTCGAAATTTAAAAAACACTATCAATAAAGAATACACCTGGCGAAATGTGTAACAATCTCCAATGAAAGCTGCGTCATAAAGATTTTTATTTCCGTGTTGGGAGAAGAAATGGCCCGAGGTGCCGAGTCATTTGTGACACGACCAATTTTCCAACAGGAAGCTGCAGCTGTGGTGGTCATACAGGGGGTATCCTCCTCAAAAACCACCCTATTTTCCAACATCACGTATCACCCATTCTCTCTAACAAATAGTCCTGACTTAGTTCCGCGTTTCTCGCTTACTCGACCGTATCGCCGCTGTCAAGAATAAAATTGCCCGATTAATTGTAAAATTGACTTGTTTTGTGTGTAATTTTGCCGCTATCTACTCACCGACCTCCCCCGACTTTTTTTTGTTCTGTTCTGTTCCGTTCTTCTATTTTCTTTCTTTGCCATTAACCAAATGTTGATCTTTTTTTTTTTTTTTTTTTTTTTTTTTTTTTTTTTTTTTTTTTTTTTTTTTTTTTTTTTTTTNGCGAATCAACAACAAAAAAAAACGCGACGATTTAAATTAAAATCAGGCCACTTTTTCTTTTTTTTTTTTTTTTTTTTTTTTTAATACCGCTATTTATATACAATGTCGTCACTAGGGTATAAAATTTTAAGAATTTAGTTCTCTGTTTATAAATAATTAAAAAATTTGTTAATTTTATATGATTACAGCTAAATGTGATGTAAACACTGCTTTTAACTTTGCTTCGCAACATTTACTATTCATTTATAATTGCTTACATCTTTTTCAGTTAATCATAGCGAAATCACCTGTTGCTCCCAACGCTGCCGTTCGTTTCTCTATTAACGAATCTGGAATCGTTTTAACAGGTAAATACAAAGGCGAATTATAAATATTTCTATTGATTTATTTAGCAAAATCCTTATGTTATTTTTCCTTTTAATCTTTTCTTCTCAGGAGATGATATTGAATTTATTAACATGTCGGATCCATTAAATAGAACTATTCAAACTAAGTACAATTTTTTAACTTCTGAAGTAACTGGAACTGGTACTGTATTTACTGCCTCTGCCACTTCAAGACAATAAAGAGAAGAAATACTATATGTGTCTAACTCATTACAATGTATTTTATAGTTTAATCAATCGATTTTAGTGTCATTGTTTTCACCATAGGTATTATTTAACCGTCACATTAATGTTCCATAATTTTACAAATGCAAAAAATTAATAAGATGAACGTAAAAATGAAAATGTGCAATTAAATATTATCTTTGAACCATCCAGTAGCAGAAGAAATTTCTATCTAAAATCGGTTGATGAAAAGATTTTTTTTTTTTTTCCTAATTTATGTTGCAGTTTTAAAAGTTCACTTTTTTTATAATTAAAAATTTTGTGACAAAGTTTTGTTGTTGTTTGTGTTATTTGCACTTATGTAGTTTTAATTTTTTTTTTCTAAATTAAAAAAACTAAACGTTTTTTAATCATGCTCATTAAAATAAACTAAAAATTTTTATTTTGAGTAAAAGCATTGAGTTTTCTTAAAACTTTTCTAATTTCCTTTTCAAAAGCATTTTACTAACAATTTATTTCAAACGCATTTAAAAATACAGTAGGGAACCGATTATCCGGAATGATCGGGACCATCGCTATTCCGGATAACTGATTTTTCCGGTTTTCTGAATCGGTACAAAAAGCCGCTTTTTTATTGTTAAACCCAACTAAAAAAAAATATTAGGAAATAATCTTAAAAAGAAGAAAAAACGATGAAGTAATACAGTAATGATTATTTCTAAAATGATGGTATGGTAAACATCTTTCAAAAAAGAAAGAAAAATCCTATAATCTTACGAGGAAAAAAAATTTTTTTTTCAAAAAATGGTGGGAAAATTTATCGAATTTCGTTCCGGTTTTTTGGTTTTCCGGTTTTCTGATTTCCGGATAACGGGTTCTGTACTGTATATATATTGTTGACGTTATCGGTGTTTATTCCTTCATGGTTTTGAGTAAGTAAATTGTTATTTCTGAAATTAAAGTTTTATCATTCACCAGTAGATGGCGACACTAATAGCAATGATGAGTTATCTCCCTATCCCATGAGACCTTATTTGCAGATTGAGACGGATAATATTTAAATTGATTCAAATGTAAAAATTGTAATCTAATGATCAATTTGAATTTCTAAAAAAGAAAAGAGAGCAAACCGTTTTGATCATTTTTTACTCCCCTGTCTTAATCAGAAAATAGGAAATTGGAGAGAAAAGGGATAATCACGTTGTATCTCAATAAATAAAAAATGAGTTAATTTGCGATTTTTAGTGAAGGAAAAACCTTTTTTCGGAGTTTTTTTTTCCACTGCAAGTTGCAACACTATCTCATATGTAACTGTTTTTTGAGTTTACAGTAATTTATATTTCCAAATGTAGGAAATTTTTATTTGTTTTTTATTTTCGGAGTTTCATCTTGTTTCTTTCCTGAAAAGCTGTTGAAACTTTAAAGATCCTGTTTGTAGTCAACTTCGCGAATTTATTGCACTTGAGAAGTGACTATCTAAGTTATTTACCCGCAAATAACATGATGGAAAAAGGGAGTAAAACAAAACAAAAAAAGTTCAAATTTTTTACTCAATCTTCTTTTTTTTTTTTTTTTAAAGCACTTCTCTCTGCATTAATTTTAAGTTTTTTTTTCCCCGCCATTTCAAAATTTAGTCTTCAAATTGAAAGTTTCTAAAAGTAGTTAGATGTCATTATTTTGCATTTTATTATTTCGTGCATATAAAGATGTTTCAAAATAATTTTTGCCCCTTTATCTTTTATTCTGTCACTTCCTGGTGACTTATTTTCCCAGCTAAGTTTCTTTTTCTTTGCAATTTTTTACGTAAAATATTATATGAAGTAGCAGAAAAAAATAGAATCGTCAGGTTGCAAAACCCAATAAGCAACTTATTTTTTTTTAAGGTAAAAATAACTTAAATTAGAAAATTAACAGACACACTATAACTTCTGTATTAAAAATACTTTCCGTAACAGATATTTTCACTTAGAGTAACTAAAATTTTGAATGGCATACTGAGTTTTTTTAACTATATGACTTAAATTCATGTGAATATATATTTAATACCTAGACTAGCATGACAATATCAAGATATGGTGATAAATTTTGTTCGCAGTGGTCAGGAAACAATTGAAACTTTTGAATTGATTTGAGCACTCCAGTTAGATGGAATTTTGATCGATGACTTTTTGACGATAACTATTAGTTGTAGCAGTCAGAAAACGATTGAAACTTCTATTACAATTAGAAACGGATCTCTAAAGATTTGAATGAGGCTAGTTGGAAAAAAAGTTTACATTTCATTGCTAGATCAAAGCCTCGTCGGTCCGAAATTGTGTTGAATAGTTAGTAAAATAATAACATAAAATTACATTTAAAAACTCAAAATGGACATTTAAAAAAAGTTTATTTAAATTAAACAAATTATGAATAAGATAGTCTTCATTACAATTAGCCTTCAATGTCAAATCTTAGACTTCTCCTTTACAGAGCTGCAGGGGAAATGTTTTAAATGGATAAGTTAAAAATAGCATTTTATGTAAAATAATAATTATTAAATAATTAGTTGTTACAGAAATCTTTATTTCTAACTGCAATTCGTTTAAAATTATCTTAAAGTAAGGTTTGTCTGTTTAATTTAAATTTATGACATATTTTATTGCAAAAGTAAATTACTTTAAAATGCAAAAACCTGACATTCGAATTAATTTTTGTTCCATTTAAACTTTAAAAAGAATGTTACTGTACTCTTTACTTTTATTTTTTAACAAATATTTAAAAAAAAAAAAGTACAGTCCTAAAAATAAACAAGTTTTACAGCAAATATCTAAAAACTGCAAAAAAGAGGGGAGTTTCATCACGAAAACAAGGGGAGGGGAACACCGTTTTCCTTAATACTCCCTCTCCTCCGACTGGTTTGTTTCGCATGTACTCATTAAGGTGTGAACTTTGCAGGAAAATTCAATAAGAACTTCATAATTGACTAAAGAAAGGGTATTTTATAAGTAAAAAAAGAAAGAAACCATTGGGGGTACACAGTTCCCTCAGATACTCCTTCCTCTACACCCCTGCTCCTTTCACATCATTTGATTCGCATATCTCACGAAGCTGCCAACTTGGCCAGAGAATTAATAAAAATGACATAATTTCTAAAACAAAAATGGTAATATTAGGAAAAAAGCATTTGGGATACACCGTTCCTCCCACGTACTCCTACTACACCCTACTCTTCCGACGTTTGATTCGCAAAGCTGCCAACTTTGCAAGAAAATTGATATAAGTTGCGTCATTTACAATAAAAGATGGAATATTAGTAAAAAAAACTTGGGGTGTACACCGCCCCGACCCTCAAGTACTTCTACTACAACCTTGCTCCTCCAACATGTTTAATTCACATCCCTCATAGAGCTATCAACTTAACCATCATTAGCCATTCATAATAGTTTTCTAGAAATGACGATTTCATATGCATGGCTACTTTTCTAAACCATTAATAATTAATTGCCCGGACAAATGAAAAAACAAACAAAAAGCCACAATGTATGTATGTATATTCTGTCTGCTATGAATGACATACACTCTCTCTCTTTCCCACGTGTTTAGCGTCACTTTCTTCAAGGGTAGAGAGATAAGGCGATTCCCACGCCGATGCAGAAGCCATCGGTAGCCATGCTGGTCGATTTGCATTGTCTTTTATGGCTGCCAAAAGTATCGATGTTGACGGAGTCTGCTTCATTCAATGCGGAATACAGCTTTGTTCTCTCTGCATGGCTGATGGAGCTGAACTGAAAGACTTCAATCTGCGTCGATTAGGGTGATAGTTTGTCCTTGGAGATCGCCCGCTCAATCGACAGATCTTCCATTCAAGGCGACACGTGTCGGAAACCCATATTTGCATTAAAAATAACCCATATTTACTACTGACTTAATTTTTGAACTCGGACGGAATCTTTTCCTTGATAGGAAAGCAGTGGGTTAGCCTTTCCTTTAATCGAATTATTACCACTGATTGATTTGTTGGAGAAATATTGTATGAAGTTATTCTGAATGCATCATGTCTTTATTAAGAATTGAAATTTATAAAATTTAATGGTGTTTCTAGATGTGTTACTGCCTATAGAAAACTTGCTTGTCGGTTTTAATTAATTTTAATTGGGAAATTATTGTGAGATAAATTTATTGGACGCTCAACGGGTATCAATCAACCCCGACAATATCAGTTAGATAACAAATTTTATTTTTTATTTACATACTTTTTTATTATTTATTTATCTTATTTATTTTTTCAGTGAAGTTTCAGTTCTTTCAAAAAATATGATTTGAAAACTTTTTTTTTTTTTCCAATGTAAAAAATTCCCGTTCTTTTTACGGACTTTCTCTGTATATTTGACGTTTTATAACCGTTTTATTGATAAAACGGTTTTTCTCTGTTTTTCATTCTAATCATTAACGGATTAAAACTGTAATTTCGAATTCTAATTCTTGTCCTTTCAGTTTTGTTTACCGTAGAATAACTCTACCTTTTTTAAAATCATTTTACGATAAAGATACATTTGATGATAAAGTATGATTAGACAGACAGCACAATACCTTTATGGAAAAAAAAAAGGGAAAAATAATGGGGTCGCTTTATCAGATATGGGTAATTCGAACTTCTATGAATTTTTCTCCAAAATTTTAAAGTAATAAAATGGTGCAATTTGTGGTTTTGAGAAAATATATTGAATCTACGCGTTTCTCACTTTTTAGATTTTTTTTAAAAAATTTAATCTTATTGCAGTTTTAAATTGATGAAAAGCTATTTGGATGACGCTAAAAATTTCATTGAACGTTAATTGCATTAAAATAAAAGATACTTATCAAAAGTTTAAAAACTAATGACTGTTTACTATTTAAATATCTTTCAAAACTTGTTGATTGCGGAATCACCCTGGCTTAATTTTGTGATAAAGAAAAAAAATTTAGAGAATCGGAAATGGGAGTTTAAAAGTGTGAGAGAGTGTTTCGATTAGAATAATAAAATAAAAGATTTACAGAAAAGAACTAACATA